ATGGTTCATGGGGTCATGAAGAGTCAGACACGACTTAACGACTGAACAACATAATACATTCATGTTGCCTGCTCAAGCGTTACAAACTATGATGGGTCAAATTTGAGTTCATTTCCTCAATTTTAGAAGTATTAATATAATAGCTATGGATTTTATTTCAATTGCTTTATCTCAATGGATTATTTCTATTGATATTTGGCTATAGAGAGTGGTGGTTGCATTGGTCCCAGAAATTACACCACCTATCCTAACACATTTAGTAGGAGGTAAGACAAATATGTTCATAGTTGGGCTTGCCGGTGAATAAATATGCGTAGAACTAAACTACAAAATACTGTAGGTGGCAAAATATTTTAGTGAAGCCTCTTTTTCCCCTGCAAACTTTTAACCAATGGGAAACTCTTAGTAGTGTTAAGTTCAACATAGCAAAAACTGATCTGTTGTATGAAGTGCATTCAGTAAAATATGATAGGTAGCACAAGCTCTGGAAACAGGACCACCAGAGCTGCGGAGATGAGATAATGGTGAAGGTCTCCTTTAAAGTCATGCTTGTTTCAGACCCCCTCTTGCCTTACAAAATGCTAAATATGTCTGAAAGCAAACTTTTTACTACAGTACTGTCCTGAAGTTTGTTGCAGAGGAATTCCAAGTCCCTGCAGCTACAAGTGTCATTATAACAAATGATGGAATAGAAATAAACACAGATGGCACAGCTGGAAATGTTTTCCTGAAGCATGGTTTGGAATAGTGACTTATTCCCAAAGATCACATGAGAAGTTATTGGTACATGCAGAGTCCGCTTACACTTAGCTGACAGAACTACAGCAAAGAAGTTAACATGCACATCACTCAATAATTGGCATCTCATACCATAATGTACATCTTGCAGTTAATTCCTAGTAAGAAAAGTGATAGAATTCCTTTTTTGAACAATGTTTGGAGGAGATCTCATCGCCAATATAAGAACGCATGTGCCTCCTTTCTTTGAAGTCTTTATGCTGTAGGTTTTTGTTTAGCTTTCAGAGCATCCCAGTTTGCTTATTTGGAGCAGATATCACTGCCACGTGCAGTGAATATGTGGATGGAGTTTCCTTCTCCATTGAAGTGAATAGGAAAGCATTTTCCTGTGCTCACCAGCAGTGAGTCAGCCACTTTTAGAGCCATAGGACATACATTTGGGGAAGTTTAATTTGGTTTAGATGATGTGATGTGTTTGAATATTGTATAACGAGAAGTATTATGGGACGTACCTCCAATGCTTGCTAAAGTTATGCATAGCTATTATAATTATCATAACTATTTCTTCCACTTTTCCCAACATTAGACTCTTCTTCAGAGAGCTAGCTCTTTGCATAATGTGTCCAAAGTAGGATAGTTTGAGCCTGAACATTTGTGCCTTGAGTGGAAGCTCTGGGTTGACTTGTTCGATGATCCATTTGCTTGTTTTCTTGGTTGTCCACAGAATTTTCAGGAATTTTCTCCAACACCAAAATTCAAAAACATCAATATTCTTTCTATCTTGCTTCTTCAGAGTCCAACTTTTGCTTCCATAGAGTATCACAGGGATACCATGGCTTGTACAGTTCTGATCTTTGTAGGTATAGACACATCCCAGCATTTGAATATCTTTTCCACGGCCTTTGTGGCCACTCTAACAAGTGCTAGTCTGTGGTGTATTTCTTGACTGCTTATTCCTTTACTGTTGATGGTTGATCCTAAAAGGCAGAAGGTGTCCAGCATTTTGACATTTTCATTGTCAGTTCTAAGGCTGATTGTTCTACCTGTTGTCATTAGTTTGGTATTCTTTATATTTCATTTTAGTCCCATTTTTTCACTGTGCTCCTTGATTTTTATTACTAGAGCTCCTTTGCATTTTTGACTATTATGGTAGTGTCATCAGCATAGTGCAGGTTATTGATGTTTCTTCCTCCAGTTTTAAAACCACACTCATCTTCCAATCCAGCTTCCCTTAATATATATTTGGCATATGAATAAATAAAGGGAGAGTGTACAGACTTGTCTCACTTCTTTGCCGACCTGGAGCCAGTCTGTTTCACCATGTTCTGTCAGTACTGTGGCTTCCTGACCTGCATATAAATTTCTCATGAGGACAATAAGATGTTCCGAGATTCCCATTTTCCTGAGCACTTTCCACAGTTTGATTTGATCAACACAATCAAAGGCCTTCTATAATCAATACAGCACCCAGTGGCTTCTTTTTT